ATTGAAACATAAATAGTCATAACTCTTAACTACACCAACTTTGAGGAAATGCTACGGTCCTGTTACGGAACCATTCCGTCGGGGTTTGTAACCGTTGTAACATTATGTAACCATTATGGATAGTTGATCTAACAGTTACAAATCCCGACGGATTGATTCCGTAACGGAACCGTAGCATTTGTATCTACAAAAAAACATATCCACTCAAACAACATCGTGCTACATGCATCCTAAATTTTGATCACTTTTCCTAAGTATTAAACGACGGTACCGAATTCACCAAATCGGCTTTGGTTAGTGTCCCTGAGTGATCTACGTCGAGTTGCTTGAACCACTCCATCACCATCTCTACATCCTCCCCGCTAATCTTCCCCATCTCCTTCAGCTTATACACTACAAATTCAGCCGCACTACATACACACAAACAACCCAAGAATAATAAAATCATGTGAAATCAATTTCTTCATCAATATCAAAAGATACAAACAAACAAAGAAAACACAGAATACATAAATAATGACTCACCTCACGGCGTCATCGTTGTCCAAATCTGCAGCCTCGAGATCCGTAGACGTGAGCTCCCTCGACAGGACCCACTCGACGAACGACTTCCTCCTCCTCTCGGTATAAAGCTCCGCCCCGCAGTAAAAAAACTGCGCCAAACAAACGGTGCTCACCAAAATCCAGACGGCGGCAAACAAGCGGCCTCCGCCGGTGGAGAAGCTCTCGTCCCCGTACCCTAGCGTCGTGATCGTGGCGCAAACGCAGTAGAACGCGTCGAAAGCATCCAAACCCTCCACGAGGCACAAGAAAGCCATCCCAGCCACCACGAGCACGATGAGCGAGGACAAAACCGTAAAAAACTTGTATTTAACCCTATTGGTCTCGACCTCCCTCAAGATTTCGGCCGGGGTGCACCGGTCCCGCATGTGGATGGCCTTAGCTAATAAAACCTCCTGACGCTCGACTATGGTGTCGGCAGCCTTGCTGAGGAGGAGGCCGATGAGGCCAACGCCAGTGAAGACGAAGGCGCACGCGAGGGACTTGGCGATGGTGCTGTCGGGGACGAGGTCGCCATAGCCGACAGTTGTCATGGTGACGATGCAAAGGTATATGGCATCGATTAAGGGGTCGGTTTT